ATTTCCTAAAAAGAGAAGAAGGAGCATTTCTGAACGTTTTATGAGACCAGCATTAATTTGGTATAAAAACCAGGGAATAATCCCATCAGAAAAGAAAGCTACAGGCAGTATTTCTGATCACTGAGATACAAAAATATAGTATAATAAAGTACAGTATAGTATAGTAAATATAGTATAATAAAGTGTAAGCAAACCAATTTTAAGACCTCTTTAAAAGGATACAACACCATGATCATGTAAAATTAATTTATCTAAAAGATAGTTAAATATATAGAACTCAATCAACACGATACAATGTGTTAACAAAAAGAGAGGAAAACACATTATTATCTCAATAGGTACAAGCTTTTGACAAACTTCAACATCCATTTATGGCTAAAACTAAAAAAATATGAGAAACTCAAAATATAAATAAAATATAGAGCAAAATAAAAGATAATAGGGAACAGGGATATAGATCTTTTTCACAAGGCAAGGAGACCATGAAATGGAGAGAGCGGGGAAAGAGAGGAAGGGGATTAAAAAAAAGAAATAACATGTGTTATGAAGATGTACCAACTCTCCACGATGAGTAATCATCATGTACTTTTGGCTCTGCTCCTCACCATGTAAGATAACGTAGGTTTTAGGGATTACACTGTAAAATCTTTGAGGAGATCATTATTCTGCTGATCACAAATAAAAGATTTTAATTTAATATTCACTTGGCAATTTTTTCAGTTCCACAACTAATAATGTTCAAGAGTTTTCTAATGGCTCAAAATGACATGAAATGAAAGGAAAAAGTTTTCTAAATAATTCAATATAGTATTATATATCTAAGATTTAGCAACACATGTTAATTGCCCAAAAGTGCAATGATAAAACAAAGACTTTCATATTTAATTTAATATTACCAGTTCATTTTTCAGAGAAAAATTAAAAAGATACTCTTTAAAAAGCTAAATATAATTATGGTCTTGTTATAAGACAGCATCCTGATAGTATCATAATATCATATGATGCCCTGAAAATATTAATAGGCGGTAATGCAATGCTAAGATTAGTTCACAGTGTTTACAATCACAAAAATAATACACTTTGAGTTCCGAAAGTATAGGAGAGGTCAGTAATATAAAAAAGGTCAAGATGTCAGTCAAACAAAGACCTAAAAGGTGAGCAATCCTGGCCCCATGAAAGTACACAGGCTGGTGGTGAAGGTGCCATACTGATCAGGCAAGTAGAACCAAGCTGAACCTCAATGTAAGTGAAGACTTTTCCCAGGACCCCTAGAGGAACTGCGCAGACCCCTGGTAAGGCATGGGGTTTTAAGCACACATTAAAAAAAGTCACTGTAGATTAATTTCTCCTGTCCCATATTTACAGTCATTCTAAAAAATAAAAAAGATATAAGATTGAGATAACAATTCCTAATTATATATTTTTAAATATAAAGTACCTACAATAGCAAAAAGCATTCATCTAAACCTGAGAAAGCACAAATGTTTTTTCTCCTAAACTTATTAATAATTTCTACCAAGCTAATATTAAGGAATTATCAAAGAAATTCCCAGGTCATCCCATTTTAGCCTTACGTTCTTTAATGCATACAGCCTCCAACAACTGATATTTACAATAGTGATCTAAAGATTTTGAAAGTTACCAACTTGTTACTGATCAGTTTTTTAGAAAACTAAGTTATAATCAGAATAATTTTACTACTGAACTTACTGAGGAAATATTTTTGAAAATTTATTGTATGTCAAACCTACACATTAATTATAAAAATGTGTAATCCCTTTACAGAATATTAAAGTATTCATACAACACCATTTTCTATCACAATGTTCAAACATAAGTTCACTGTAATGAAACCATCAGAATAGCTGAAGTTTTTTAAGCAATATAATTTAATTAAACCCTTCTAGTCTATGGAAGCAAGTTTCTTACAAGTAAATCTTTTCTAAACTATGATTTTGTTTTAAAGTATCAAGGGTAGGATCACTAAAAATGCAGTAATAGGAGTTACACTATCATGTCAGAATATTCTTTAAGACTATGCTTTTATTTGAGAAACACTAAAAAGACTTAGTAGCACTTACAAATAGCAAATGCTAGCCAGTTTTGTTAATAAAGAATTAAGATTTATAAACATATCCAGATAATATCGGTGATGACAGGGACAACAATGACAAAACTTTGATTTAGTCTTTGATGCCTTTTCTGGGGAGTACAAGAAAACCCCAAAACAAAAAAAACAACCTCCACAGAGAATACCAGTAAAATTCATTTACTAATCCTCATCCTAAATGTGGTGAACAATTTTATAACTCAACTTTCTCTGAATTGTATTTATTATATGACCTCTTTCAGATAGCCATCCATTCACTTGTTCATCTCTGTTGATCAAATACTTGGCAACTGCTGGTTCAATGGCAAATGATATGGAAAATAAACATTGGGGAATCATCTGTATCATCACAAGCTCCTTTGACCCAGTCTCTTACATTCACAAACTTCTCAAAACTACTCTTGTGTGGGTGTTGGTCATATCAAGCTCCAAACCTTGTATGAGAGGAAGACTAGACTGAAAAAATACGTGCATCCTCTGGTGACCACGATGAAGAATACAAATGCCAGTATCTGCAGGGTTGCAAGACACACAGAACCAATTTAAAGTAGTTTTAAAAGGAGAAAGCAAAATACATTCAAATGATTAAGGAATATTATTTGCTAACTTTACTGGTACAGATTGTATATCTGCTAGGATTTCAATGTGTCCCTTAAAAGTTCATGTGTTATATGTTTTATGCAAAAAAGGTACAGTATTATTAGGAAATAAGTTGAAAGATGGATTAGCAAATGAAAATATATTCTTTTCAGATCATGATACACAGTCTATTTACCATTGTTACTCTCTATTTTTGATAGGAAATATTATTTTTTGCATAGAACTGTTTTTATATTTTCTTTATTAATATCTACTTGTATTACATTTTTAAAAGTTCATGTGTTGGAATCTTAATCTCCAAATTCATGTTAATGATGTTTAAAGGTGGGGGCCTTTGAGAGAAATAGGATTAGATGAGGTCTCAGGGTGGAGACTTTCTAAAGGCATTTGTGGCCTTATAAGAAAAGAAAGAGAGACATGCACTAGCAACTCTATCAACTCTTTCTCAGTCTCATGTGACACTCTCTGTCATATGATGAGGCAGCAAGAAGGGCCTTGAAGATGTCAAGAAGATGCTGGTGATGCTCTAGTACTGCCCAGCCTCCAAAACTGTGAGCCAAAGTAAACAGCTTCTTTTCTTTATAAATCATCTTGTCTGTGGGATTTTGTTATAGCAACAGAAAACAGACTGAGACATTATCTCAGATATAAACATGGGAAATCCAGTATTTAATTCTTTTGTTTGTTTGTTTTGGTGCCGGGGATTGAACTCGGGACCTTACGCTTGTGAGGCAGGTGGCAGCACCACTGAGCTAAATCCCCAGCTAGTATTTAATTCCTAATTGACTGTGTGCGGCAAGAAAAGTCTAGTTTCTCAGACATAAAATTCAGTATCTTTCAAAAATGACAAAATCATAATAAAAAAACTAAAGTATTGATCAAATCAGACCTTAACCAAGACAGAAAGAACAAGTGTAGCTGCAACAAATTAGTTCATGAGATCAAATTTTATCAGGGTCATGAAAATTTAGATAGAGTCTGTACTGCATTAGATTATAGCATTGAGGACAAACATTAAAGATGTATCCAAAGAAACAAGGTCTGGTGTTTTTTACCACAGTAAAATATATTGAATGATTTAGACCATTCAGGCCCCTCTTTGATATTTTTAGTAGTAAATTAAAAAGAACTAGAATGTGAAGGCATTTGGAGTTTTTCAAAGGCCTGGATAGTAAAAAGGTAGCAAGTAATATGAAAAAGAAACTCTACACTGTGTCTCCAGAGCCAAAAAATGAAATAGCTTCAGATTGACTAAATGCTTCTCATTCAAAAAGAATCCCTGAGTCAAACTTTGTAAGTGATGTTGCAGAATGGCAAAAAAAAAAAAGCCTTACACAATGTGTTCCACAGCCAATTTATTCAATTAATCCACACATAGAGAGGGTCTGTGGAGGATTATGCCATTTAAAAAGTGTAATGGCTTGGAATTGGAATGTTCCTTGAACTCCTGTGTATTATTATAGGATTGGCTGCCAGCCTGTGGCAATATTGGGAGGAAGTGGAACCTATAGTTGACAGGCCCAGTGAAGGACTTTGGGTCACTGCCGATGTGCTCTTAAAGTGGATACCAGGTCACTCATTCCCTCCTGTCTCTTACTCTGTTTCTTGATCAACATGAAGGGAGGAGTTTTACTCCACAATGCACTCCCCATCATGAAGTACTGCCTCACCACAGGCCCAACACAATGGATCCAAGAGACCACTGACTGAAAATTCTGCAACCATGAGCCAAAATAAATCTTGATTCCTTTAAGTTGATTGCCTCAGGCATTTTGTCACAGTGGCAGAAAGCTGGCTAACACACAAAAATCCAAACAAAGAAAAAAATATTTTTTGACCTTAAAGCATCTGCTATTCAATACCAAAAAACCCAAATTCAATACAATATAGGCAATTCATTGTGAGGAAAATAATACTCAAAAGAGTCATAGTTTGGGAAACTTTAAATGTTAATAGTTTTCTGAAAACTATTGAGGTTCTTTTGAGCAACAGTAATTAAACAAGGCAAGATAAAACATAAGAGAAGAATCAAAGAACATGGCTTAAAAATAAAATAGGGAAATTAATTCAAAGTAGTTAAGTACAAACTTGAAGCAGAGTTTTCTAATGGAAAGAAAAATATCATAGCAATCAGAAGCCAAAGGCGGAGACACAACAGTTAAGAGCTGCTGACAAGGCCAGAGACTCTCTAAGCCACATGGCTAAAGGACTACAGTAGGATTATCCAAATGGAACATTTACTTAAATTAGTAATGTCTTATATCACTGATAGGAGAGATGTATTACTTACCCGGTTTATGTGACTTCTCCCTATAAGAACCTGTAGCAAGGTTTTTTCAAATTCTTCCAATTTCTTAGAACACGTTTTCACAATATGGTTAGAGAAGTTACAATCACTGATCAGTCTTGCCAAAGTTTCAACAGCTTCTGTCCAAAACCTTGAAAAAGGAAGTTTGGGATTACGGTAAAATGTGATCAGGCCATCAAGCATCTGAGAAACAGAATCAGAGATGGTGGAAGAGTCCTTTTCAGCATGAGTTAACACCAGACTACCTGATTCAGTCAAGTTCTTTAGTGCTAGCAGATGTTGCAAGAACTTCATGTGAGAAGACAGAGGACTTTCTCGGGAGGCCTGGGCTTTTCTCACAAAAGGCAGTGGTGGAAAGGGTGGGGGGTTGCAGCTCTCCACAAAGTGCTGGGATAACTCTGGAAGTTCTGTTTCCCACTCATTTGATAAATCATACCCAGAATCTGCCAGCTGAGTTAATGTATTTTCAGAACTTTTGGGTTCCTGGGAAGACAGTGTTCCTGAAACAGAAAGGAAGAGAAGGGTTATCTTTTGTATAGCTTAAATTTCTTCATATAAAAACAACACATTGTTTTCTCTTACTTGAAAATGGACCATGTAAAGATGTGTTAAACATTTAATAAGCAGTGTAAAAACTGAGAAGAGGAAAGAGGTGATACTGAATATACTTATGAAACAGAGACAGAAGATCAAAATTAAAGTTAGAGAATGGAAAAAGGCAAACATCATACATCAAAGGTGCATCAAAGAGGCAGTAAGGACAAAGATAGCATTTTTGCACGTGAGGAGTCACACATGGTTGGGAGCCACTTTCACCGAAAGGACAGGGTAAGAGATTAAGTCAGAGAAATATGTAGAGGCCAGAAAATAATAGGTCATATAAGATCTATTAAAAACCTCAGAATTTATCATATAGTGTGTGCAGTGAATTTCAAACTTGACTAACATGAACACTCTTTGGGAAAAAGTACATACACATGTGGATGAATGCACACACACATTCAAAAACACCTGATATGTTCATCTAAATACACACCAATACTATCTCTATCTCTCTGTGTGTATGCAGTTAACAGTAAACCTAGTAACTACAGTGTTCCACTCTTTCCTTTCTGATCTTGATATTAAGCTTTGCCATAAGTTGGTTCTTCAAATGTGTGAAAGGGTGGAGGGCAGCCACAACAGTCATTCCATCATAAACACACAAAAGATAAATAGGTGACAGAGTTTTTTAAATTAAATTTTATTTTATTTTATCCCATTCCTCCCATCAAGCCCCCTCCTAACCCTATGTACAAAAGCTTTATTTCCATTTTTTCCTTCTATTTTCACTTTTTTCTTGTCCCTTCCTTTCTCCCTCCCTCCTCCCTTGTTCCCCTTCCCATTTGAACACTTTCTTCCCATTTCCTAACATCCATTATACATTTCAGTCCTTATTTCCACTTTTGGTTTCTTACACCAGAGAAACGATATGGTATTTAAACATGTGTGTCCCATTTACTTTAGAGTACAGTCTCAAGGTCCATCCATTTAGCTATAAATGTCTGAAGCTCATCCTTCTTTATGGCAGAGTAGTAAAAAATCAATAGTCATCCTGTACACTAATAACAGATTCATGGGCTGAGAAATTAGAGAAACAATCCTTTTCATAATAGTATCCAAAAAAATGAAATACCAGCCATCAATCTAACAAAGGAAGTAAAAGACTTCTACATTGAAATATACAGTACTCTGAAAAAGGTGATTAAAAAGGACATCAGAAAATGGAAAGATGTCCCTTGTTCTTGGATAGGAAGAACCAATATAGTGAAAATGGCCATACTTCCAAAATTGTTACACAGATTCAATGCAATCTCAATCAAAGTCCCAATAGCGTATCTCACAGAATTAGAAAAAAACAATCCTAAAATTCATTTGGAACCAGAAGAGACCTAGAATAGCAAATGCAATTCTGGGCAACAAAGGCAAAGTAGGGGATATCACAATTATGCTACAAAACTACGGTGTTAAAAACAGCATGGTACTGGTAAAAGAACAAACCTGAAGATCAGTGGAACAGACTAGAGGATGCAGAAACAACTCCAGACATACTCAACCAGCTTACCTTTGACAAAGGAGCCAAACACCTTCACTGGAAGAAAGATAAATGGTGCTGGAAAAACTGGGTTTCCACATGCCAAAGATTGAAGCTAGTCCCCTATCTTTCACCATGCACTAACCTAAAAGTGAAATGATCTAAATAATAAAACAGAAACACTAAATCTGGTGGAAGAGAGAATAGGCAGAATGTTCGAAGGACATAGGAGTAGTCAAAAGACTTCATGAATAAAACCCAGACCCCACTGGGACCTCATCTTATCAAAAAGCTTTTGCACAGCAAGAGAAACCACCAACAGAGTGAAGAGACAACCTACAATACGGGAAAAAAAATTTACCAGCTATTCAGAAAGAAGGCTTTGTTTTGTTTTGTTTTTTGTTTGGTAGTACTGGAGATTGAACCCATTATATCCCTGACCCTTGTTTATTTTTTATTGTGAGACAAGGTTTCAGTAAGATGCTAAGTGGTCTGGGCTGGGCTCAAACTTGTGATCCTTCTGCCTCTGCCTCACAGTGAGCCTCACAGCATGCCCTAAAGGTATGCCCACTACATCCTGCTTAAATATGGTAGATATTTTTAAATTATTATCACTAAAATATGAAAACAAAATTGTAACCAACTGAAAAGTTACTCGTGAGCATTTGAAAGCACATAATATGTCTATGAGTATGAGAAATATTTCTGTCACCACCAGAAGGAATGAAATGTGAAAAGGTGTAAAGTAGGAAAGTTGAAATGGACTTATTTTGATTTGATTGAACATTCTGTTGGCTACAGGAGCAAGAAATTTTTTGAAGAGTATAAGATGAAACCATGAGTAATTAACTGAATATCATGCCTATAGTGGTAATATCAGATGAGAGAAATGAACCGAGAAGTTTCCGTGGAAGATAAAGGAAGCAAATGACCACAGAGATGAACACAAAGTATTGGAACACAATCTGGAAGCATGCTGGTTGGCTAGATTTGGGCAATGAAATAGATGTGCAATTAAATGCACTCACTGGTTCTGACTTAAGACTACTTGGCAGATGATGGTGCTATCAACTGCAATGGTAAAAATACAGGAGAAGAGCTGGTTTAGGAGAGACTGTAGGTTCAGGTTTAGTCATCTAAATTTTGAAGGAACCAGAGAAGATCAAGGAGGTGATATTCTCTGAGAGACTGTCTACATGAGCCTAAGGATGGAGAAAGGTCTAGACTGAAAATACATTTTAGGAGCTTATCTTGAATAGGTGGGGTCTGAGACTTTGCAAATGTTTATCACTCAGGGAGGATATGGGCAGTGAGAAATCCACAGGATCAAAGAGGGACCCCAAGGTAAAACACTGCTGGAGGGCTGAGTGGAGAAAGAACAGTCACGAGAGTGGCAGAAAAGAATAGTTTAAGAGATATAAGAATAAAATAAAGATTATAACATGACAGTCAAAGACACAGTTTTATAAGAGGAATGACAACTAGTAAGGAAGTCCAATACAAAGCATTGAAAAAATGTATTTTAAAATTACCAAGCTGCCAGGTGTGTTGGCCCATGCCTGAAATTCCAGCACAGTAGGAGGCTGAAGCAGGAGAATACCAAGTTGGAGCCCAGACTGGCAACTGAATAAGTTAATGAGACCCTGTCTCAAAATAGGAAAGAGCGAGGGGGAGGACAGAGGTAGAGACAGAGACAGACAGAAAGACAGATTGAGACAGGCAGGCAGGTAGGCAAGTAGGCTGGGAATGTAGTATCACAAAAGGAAAAAAGAGAAGACAAGACAAGAGAAGAATGGATGGGTGGAGGAGGGAAGGAAGGAAGAGAGAGAAGGAAAAAGGAAGTAAGTCATCAGTGATCTTAGTTGCTGCAGCTTTGGACAGTCAGGCAGTCTGGAAAACAGAACAGACAGCACTGTACTGAAGAGTTAAGGGGGAAGACAGTTAAAGAATGGCCAGCTCTTCCAATTGAATAAGGATAGTAACTGCAGACAAGTTTCACTCAAGTTGGGAAAAATTTAACAATTATAGTTGACTGAGAAAAACAATGGAGGAGAGAATGGAGATGTTGAAGAAACTAAGAAGGGCAGGTGGGACATGGTCCTGGAGAAGGTAGGAGAGCAGTCAAGGCTTAGTAACGTGGCTGGAAGAAGAGGGTGAGAAGACCCAGGGATGCAGAAATCTGCCACAGGCACACAGGAAGCTAAAGGAGATCCTACCGGGCTGTCACATTTCCTTGAAGATGGAGACAGGAAGACATTAGCTAAATAGGGGCTGTGAAGAATGGCAAAGGGACATCTTCTACCTTTTACATCATTTAGTTGGTAAATCTTTCTAATTTATTGCTCTTTTGTCCTTCGATAAAATTAGAAATTGATGAGATAGAAACAGCACTCATTTATTCAACAGGTGCCTACTACAACCACTATAAGCATGCAGCTATGTGCTTACTATTTATTATCACAATACCTAAATTCCAAGTCCAGGGAGATAATTCAAAAAGTTCAAAAACGTGGTGGTACTCAGAATAATGACCTATATGCAAAGATTTTAACTGCATTTGGCTATTTCTATAATAAAAAAGCTAGACAATCTGATCATTTTAAGCAAACACATTCTATGAACAAGGATAAACATCTGAAATGACTTTTCAAGACATACATTAAAAGTAAAGGGAGAGTGTAGCTATTATAATTATTCAAGTAAATTACAGTTTTATTTCATGAGAGCTAAATGGCTCTCCACAAAGAAAACAAACAATTTCATTAACCTACTCAAATTTCTATCATGGTAAGCTAAACTTCATGGGTGGTAATTTCAAAGAAGATTCATAAAATGAATGTTACCAATTAATAAGCAAAAGGCTGATTTGTGGTTTCTCCTCATTCCTTGTTGGTGTGCCTTTGGCAAATCACAACCACTCCATGCCATCTCATCAAATGAAAATTGGAAAGGAATAATTCTAACCACGCATGGGAAAGAATATACAAAACTGACTGCTCTTTTCCCTGGTTCCTTTATTACTGTACCCTCAAGACAGTGCCATGAGGGCAGACATTCGAGATGCCACTACAGAAAAACACACAAAGAGTGGTCTTTTCTCAGTGCTCCAAGGAATCTACCAACTGCACACAAGAGGGCTATAAAAGGCTTTACACAATATGGATCCGGTTTTGCATTCTAAATAAAAAATTAAATAAAGGAATTATATTCATACTTAATTTTACAAATTAGTTTATTGAATAATTTGACTGATGTATGTTCTTAGGATCCCCGACTGATTCAGAGACATAGGCTCTGCTTGATTAAGAGACCTACGAAAAGCCACACTGCAAGTGAGACCAATTTCTCCAGTTCCATCTGCAGTCACCTTTGAACTAGAGCAAAGAGGCCTCGGTAATCCCCATTACAGGATTTATGGATTTATTT